TGACTGGGAATTTAGAGCTCAACGACTTCCTAGAGGTAGTCTAACTCTGTTTATGTCTTTTTTTTTAGGCAGTTTGAAAGAGAAGCCTCCAGAGAGAATAACTTGAGGAATTAGACACATGTGCAACCCAGATGTTGCACATGTGGGCCAGCAAGTCTACTGCAGTGTTCCTCCTTTCTTATGTTCTAATGTTATTGGTACTGTATACCATTCATGTAGAGGACCCCCACAAAGAAGGTTCCATGATGCTGGTGAGGGGCTCTTGATCTAGGGAATTGGATCTGTGCTCCGGTTCCCTGAATTAAGCCTGAATACCTTCCAACCCCCCCCCCCTCACATGCGCTGTATACTCCTACAGGTTTAGCTCTTTCCCATTTATGACACTATAATTATAATCATGTAGAGGAAATGTCCTGCTTGATCTTATTATGACAAAAGGGAGACCCTGAAAAATAGTCTAGAGAACACTGAAGAGCTTAGCACAAGTGATCACAAAAGATAACTTTAACATTAACTCAGAATATAAGGTGTTAGATTTTCGCTTTGCATATTATAGCTGACTTAGGAAGCACCTGGGTTCACCTGGCTTGTGATTCTGTGAGGAATAAGACACCTTTGCAATAAGTGGGGCTTGAATGGGTAGCATTCCGAATGGATTGAGCAAATATTTTGGAAATATAAACACATATGAAGTATAATGTGATCCTTTATTGACAACGTTTCGCCACACAGTGGCTTCATCAGTCCAATGCAAAGAAGAAAGGTGTAAGGAGAGGAGGAGTTTGAGGTAATCAATCCTTCAGCCTGGAGTCGATGTGATGAATGGTTTTGAAAACCGACAAGTTGAAGAATTGAGACACTTATGCAACACATGGGAATCTTTATTGAAGAAACGTTTCGCCACACAGTGGCTTCATCAGTCCAATACAAAGTAGAAATGGGTAAGGAGAGTAGAAGTATGAGGTAATCAGTCCCTCAACCTGGATTCGATGTGTTCAGTCCATCACTCTTGTAGTAAGTGCAGCATAGGGCCAGAGAGGTGGCTTATATACTGCAGTGAGATGAGTTGAAGCAGGAGGAGGCGGGATCTTAGTGGGACCTGCCACTAATGTAAGTAGGTCATCGTCCAAAGGTGTAAGGAGAGGAGGAGTTTGAGGTAATCAATCCTTCAGCCTGGAGTCGATGTGTTCAGTCCATCAAGATTGATGGACTGAACACATCGACTCCAGGTTGAGGGACTGATGAAGCCACTCTGTGGCGAACGTTTCCTCAATAAAGATTCCCATATGTTACATAAGTGTCTCAATCTTCAACTTATCGGTTTTCAAAACCATTCATCACATATAAGAAGAGGCCTGGTCATGGACTGGCCTCGGGGGCGCTGACCCCCGGGACATCCTCCAAGTAAGCGGTAAGGAAGGCAACTGCTGATATGACTTTGCTAAGTAATGGGTAAGTTGCCCAAAGAACATTATATTCTCCACAGAAAAATTTAGATCAGGTAGAAAATGCTGTGAGATGGATGAAGAGGAGACTAAAACATCTCTTGGGTGAGACAAGAACTCACAAGGGGACCAGAAGATGTGTTGTTAGGTAAGACACATATGCAACAGTTAGACAACTTTATTCCGAAACGTTTCGCCTACACAGTAGGAATAAAGTTTCGGAATAAAGTTGTCTAACTGTTGCATATGTGTCTTACCTAACAACCTGTCGGTATTGTATACCATTTTGATGAGACCAGAAGAGCAGAGAGGGTCGCCTCTTGGATCCATATATCCACACTGAAAAAGGTAAAGAAATGGATAAGAAATGTTAAAGAGAGACTACGAAAGTAAAGTTGCAAGAGAATCCAAGACTAAATGATTCTTTCAAGTGTACAGGACGACGATCAGGAAAAAAAAAATGGACCGACTTAAAAGTAAGTCCAGTAAAAGTGGATGATGGGTATAAACAAAGGCGATATTAATAAAATACTGAGGATATCGAATCAGGTAAGAACCAGGAATAATGGATTGAAGTTGGATAAATTTAGATTTAGAAAGGACAAAGGTAAGCACTGGTTTTCAGAGTTGTGGATGCATGGAACAATCTTCCGAGTGTGGTAATCGAGGCTACGACCCTGGGTAGCTTTAAGATTGGACGAATGTATGAGTGGGAGGGTGAATATTAAAATGGTATAAAATACCGACAGGTTGTTAGGTAAGACACATATGCAACAGTTAGGTATCTTTATTTCGAAACGTTTCTCCTACATAGTAGGCTTCTTCAGTCGAATACAGAAAAGTTGATAGAAGAGATGTGAAAACGATGTAATCAGCCTCCATCCTGTCACTTCAACTCCATATTGTTTCAGACTATGGAACAACTCTTCTCCAGAGTGAGGGACTGACCACCTCAAAATTTCAAGGGTGATGGACTGATTACATCGTCTTCACGTCTCTTCTATCAACTTTTCTGTATTCGACTGAAGAAACCTACTATGTAGGCGAAACGTTTCTAAATAAAGATACCTAACTGTTACATATATGTCTTACCTAACATAAGTGGCAGGGGCTGGGTGTGATTGTTGGTGTTGGTACTGGAGTAAATTGTGTACGAATGGTATATAATACCGACAAGATGAGAGTAAGACACATGTGCAACATCTGGGTATCTTTATTGTAGACGTTTCGCCATCCAGTGGCTTTATCAATACAAATTCCAGGACATAACTTGAAGACAGTAGAACTATGTACAGAAGATGAGGTAATCAGTCCCTCAACCATCCATCACTGGATGGCGAAACGTCTACAATAAAGATACCCAGATGTTGCACATGTGTCTTACTCTCAACTGGAGTAAATTCTTGAGTAGCTTTTGGGAAATAGTTTTTGATAAGGACATGCCTTGTATGGGCCAGTAGGCCTTCTGCAGTGTTCCTCCATTCTTATGTTCTTAAAAACTTACTGATAATGAGCAGGAAATGTAGTATTTTCTCTAACAATAAATTCCCGTCAGTCTCCGAACGAGAAAATATGAATGATCTCCCAGTAATTAATAATTATAAAGAGTTTGAGGAAAACAAATGATATATCACAGTCAATAGGGACATGGTTATCAAACAAGTAGATAGAATATAGGAAAATAAATATGAAACGAAGTCACAATATTGTAATTCGGACAATTCGCCAAAAAACTATCACAAATGAGGCGAGAATATTCAGCAAAATGATGGAGAAGGGAGAGAGGGAGGGATGGAGGAGTGTAAGAGAGAAAGAGAGGGTTAAGGGGGAGAGAAATGATGGAAGAAGGGAGAGGTGAGGGAGGGAGTGTAAAGAGAGGGAGACACATGCGTGCTGGAGCACCTTGCAAGTCTCCCTGGCCTGACGATAGTGTTAGAAGTGAGGACACGGGATCGATACCCGGGCAGGGCGCCTGCGTGCCTTCACCCCCTCCCCCTCCCCCGCCATCACACACACACACACTGACCCCCCTCACACACACACACACACACGCAGTAGCAATCAGCGAAGAGGCGGGGCCAGGAGCTATGACTCGACCCCTGCAACCACAAATAGGTGAGTACACACACTCTACATCACCTGTTACTCTACGAACATTCATTCTCTTCTCTTTGTCTCTTCCGCTTCTCTCTTCACTCTCTGGTCTCATTCATAAGTTGTTATAACAGCTAGTGAAGGCCTAGCCGGAACTGGTTGTCAGTTGGGTTTGAACCCTGTCGACTACGTCATCGTCGCTAAGGCTGCACCTGACCTTTACCACCACCAAATAAGATTAATTCTTTAAAAATAAGGGCTGAATGTACCCTTTGAGGGAGGGGCATGGCTTATTATTATTATTATTATTATTATTATTATTATTAATTATTATTGTTATTAATTATTATTATTATTATTATTATTATTATTATTATTATTATTATTATTATTATTATTATTATTATTATTATTAATTATTATTATTATTATTAATTATTATTATTAATTATTATTATTATTATTATTATTATTATTATTATTATTATTATTATTATTATTATCGGTATTATTATTGTTGTTGTTGTTAAAGGTGAGGTGATAAGGATGGTTGTGGGAGGTCATGACGCACTCTGAGACACTTTGTGAATGGAAGTAGGAACAACCTTAATCAATGTGAGGTATTTGCCTGAACGTTCCTCACTAACCTTGTAAGAGGTGTGTGTGTGTGTGTGTGTGTGTGTGTGTGTGTGTGTGTGTGTGTGTGTGTGTGTGTGTGTGTGTGTGTGTGTGTGTGTGTGTGTGTGTGTGTGTGTGTGTGTGTGTGGGTGTGTGTGTGTGTGTGGGTGCGACAACCTTAGCAGGAATGTGTCTACAGTAACCTACTGAAATGCTAAGCCAAATAGAACAGGCCAAAATTCCCGTGACTCCCAAGCCTTGCATTAAGCATCGATCATTCGGAAGAAACTCGGCCACTCCGTCTTGGTGCTGTAGTCAGGTGTGTGTGTGAGGTGGTCAACACTAAGCTTTTACTTGCTTAGAACTCTACTGGAAGATTAACTGCTGGTTAGAGCTGGCGAGTAGAACAAGGTGGAGACGAGGTAAGAAGGTATATGGGTAGCAGGGAGTCTGGCGAGGGACTGACTTCTGCCGCTGCGTCGTTCCTGGAAGTGACTCCATCTGGAAAGCTGGGAAATCCCGACCCGTGTTCGTGTGTGTGTGTATGTGTGTTTGTGAGTGTGTGTGTGTGTGCGTGTGTGTGTGTGTTGTTGACGTTCACCCAGCTCTTGCTGCCACACTCACCAGTGTTTTTCTAGTTACGTTTTCCTTGGTGGTAATTTATTTGCAGTATGTTGTACCGTGTGGTGCAGGGAAAGTGAATGTTGAGGGAGGTTGAATTTGCAGGCAGCAGGAAGAGTGATTGTGTGTTGTGTGATATGAGGGGTGTTATGCTGCGCTGGAGAGAGCTGGCATGTTTAACACTCCCCTCAGCCAGGGTAGTTCCCCTCACTCTGCCTCACCACTGGAATGACGACTGCTGGAACCTCTGTGGCGCCACCCTCTAGCAGGCCTGCTTACCTCAGAGACCTGCTTACCTTAGAGACCTGCTTAGTCTAGAGGTCTCGTTAGCCCCTAGGCCTAGCGATCCTGTAAGCCTAGTTACCTTGCTCACTGCCTGCACTGTGGTTATGCAAGAAATATATTCAGGAAAATAAAATAAATCGTTGAGTGTAATGTGTTAGAAGGTAAGAGTTGCAATATCAGCAGTGTGGAAGATCTAAGAGAACCGCATTTCACTTGTTTCCAGTATAAGAGAAAAAGTGCGTCAGTAGTGCCTTGTCCAGCAGCGACGTTCAAGTCAATTGATTTTGTTTAATAAATGGAAAAAAAATAATTAGTGATGAAAGGTTTAAGAAGATGTCTTACTTAAAATGGTCAATACGTTCAGATGGTGACCCCTGTATCTTGCGTCTCCCCCTCAAGGACGACCTTAACAGTGGTATGGACCAGTGTCGTCTCTCAGCCACACCCTCAAGGTCGACCTAAACAGTGGTGTGGACCAGTGTTGTGTCTCAGCCACACCCACAAGGTCGACCTCAACAGTGGTGTCTCAGCCACACCCTCAAGGTCGACCTCAACAGTGGTGGTGTGGACTAGTGTTGTATCTCAGCCACACCCTCAAGGTCGACCTTAACAGTGGTGTGGACCAGTGTTGTGTCTCAGCTACACCCTCAAGGTCGACCTCAAGTGTGATGCTGACTAGCGAAGTGTCACCAGCCTCAAGGTCAAACTCACCCTCAAGGTCGTGTTAAAGTGCCGTCAGACTGGAAATAATCCTGGATGCTTGTGTTACACAAGGTTTCGTGAAGCCTGTTAAAAGTACCCCCCCCCCACCCCTCCAATGTTTGTTAGTCACCTAGTTATAGCTTACAGTTGAGCCTTAGCTCTCGGGCCCCGCCTCTGCACCTCGACTAAACTGATGTAGCTTCCTCCTCGCCGTCTGGACTCTGCCACATTTTCTCTGGAATCTATACACCGAGTTGTCTTCCAGTGCGAATCTTGGTATTATAGTTCACTTGCTCGCTGCCTTCGCACTGAAGGCATTGGTTTTGTATATTTTTATTTCGTTTTGGTTCATGTGAGCTGCTTCTCCTGTGTGCACTTATTTAGAGGATGAAATAAAGAAAATATTGACAGTATAAGTGAATACTGACCCAGGTGACGATAATATAAGGAGCGTGTTGATATTATCAATGAATACTGACCCAGGTGACAATCATATAAGAACATGCCAGGAGGAGCACTGCGGTAGGCAGTACTTGTCTAACCTCTCCTTAAATACTGTACGTGCTGACAGTATGGGTACTGTAAGATGTCAGTGCATCACCATCACTGTGTGTGCTGCCTACCGGAGTGTCGACACAGGTATTCCCAGGAGCAAGGTCTTAAAGGTGGTGTGCAGCTCCCTGTCCCTCTCCTCTTGCGGTCTTTAAAATGCAGTGGTTTTCCCAGTGCCGCGTGGGGCCAGCACCGGCCGGCCAGGGGTATATATCGTTGTACAGGCCACCACTGGCCCATCAAGGGTATATATCTTGCAGTATTGGCCAACACTGACTCAAAAGGGGTATATAACCGCCACTCACCCACCAGGGATATGTAACTTGCAGTACTGACCAAAACTGACCCACCAGGGGTATATATCTTGCAGTACTGACCACCACTGACCCACCAAAGGTATATATCTTGCAGTATTGACCGCCACTCACCCACCAGAGATATATAACTTGCAGTACTGACCAAAACTGACCCACCATGGGTATATATCTTGCAGTACTGACCACCACTGACCCACCAGGGGTATATATCTTGCAGTACTGGCCATCACTAACCCACCAGGTATATATCTTGCAGTACTGGCCAACACTGACCCGCCAGGGGTATATATCTTGCATACTGACCAACACTGGCCGGCCAGGGGTATATATCTTGCATACTGACCAACACTGACCCACCATGGGTATATATCTTGCAGTACTGACCACCACTGACCCACCAGGGGTATATATCTTGCAGTACTGACCACCACTGACCCACCAGGGGCATATATCTTGCAGTACTGGCCATCACTAACCCACCAGAGGTATATATCTTGCAGTACTGGCCAACACTGACCCGCCAGGGGTATATATCTTGCAGTACTGACCACCACTGACCCACCAGGGGTATATATCTTGCAGTACTGGCCATCACTAACCCACCAGAGGTATATATCTTGCAGTACTGGCCAACACTGACCCGCCAGGGGTATATATCTTGCAGTACTGAACACCACTGACCCCCACCAGAGGTATATATCTTGCAGTACTGGCCAACACTGACCCACCAGGGGTATATATCTTGCAGTACTGACCAACACTGGCCGGCCAGGGGTATATATCTTGCAGTACTGACCAACACTGGCCCGCCAGGGGTATATATCTTGCAGTACTGACCAACACTGGCCCGCCAGGGGCATATATCTTGCAGTACTGACCAACACTGGCCGGCCAGGGGTATATATCTTGCAGTACTGACCAACACTGGCCGGCCAGGGGTATATATCTTGCAGTACTGACCAACACTGGCCGGCCAGGGGTATATATCTTGCAGTACTGACCAACACTGGCCGGCCAGGGGTATATATCTTGCAGTACTGACCAACACTGGCCGGCCAGGGGTATATATCTTGCAGTACTGACCAACACTGGCCGGCCAGGGGTATATATCTTGCAGTACTGACCAACACTGGCCGGCCAGGGGTATATATCTTGCAGTACTGACCAACACTGGCCGGCCAGGGGTATATATCTTGCAGTACTGACCAACACTGGCCGGCCAGGGGTATATATCTTGCAGTACTGACCAACACTGGCCGGCCAGGGGTATATATCTTGCAGTACTGACCAACACTGGCCGGCCAGGGGTATATATCTTGCAGTACTGACCAACACTGGCCGGCCAGGGGTATATATCTTGCAGTACTGACCAACACTGGCCGGCCAGGGGTATATATCTTGCAGTACTGACCAACACTGGCCCGCCAGGGGTATATATCTTGCAGTACTGACCAACACTGGCCGGCCAGGGGTATATATCTTGCAGTACTGACCAACACTGGCCGGCCAGGGGTATATATCTTGCAGTACTGACCAACACTGGCCCGCCAGGGGTATATATCTTGCAGTACTGACCAACACTGGCCCGCCAGGGGTATATATCTTGCAGTACTGACCAACACTGGCCGGCCAGGGGTATATATCTTGCAGTACTGACCAACACTGGCCGGCCAGGGGTATATATCTTGCAGTACTGACCAACACTGGCCCGCCAGGGGTATATATCTTGCAGTACTGACCAACACTGGCCCGCCAGGGGTATATATCTTGCAGTACTGACCAACACTGGCCGGCCAGGGGTATATATCTTGCAGTACTGACCAACACTGGCCGGCCAGGGGTATATATCTTGCAGTACTGACCAACACTGGCCCGCCAGGGGTATATATCTTGCAGTACTGACCAACACTGGCCGGCCAGGGGTATATATCTTGCAGTACTGACCAACACTGGCCGGCCAGGGGTATATATCTTGCAGTACTGACCAACACTGGCCCGCCAGGGGTATATATCTTGCAGTACTGACCAACACTGGCCGGCCAGGGGTATATATCTTGCAGTACTGACCAACACTGGCCGGCCAGGGGTATATATCTTGCAGTACTGACCAACACTGGCCCGCCAGGGGTATATATCTTGTAGTACTGACCAACACTGGCCGGCCAGGGGTATATATCTTGCAGTACTGACCAACACTGGCCGGCCAGGGGTATATATCTTGCAGTACTGACCAACACTGGCCCGCCAGGGATATATGTTCACCAGTCATCACCTCATTTTTCATGATTTTCGAAAAAAAATCTACAACATATTTTGAGAGCCTTCTTGCTGCTGCTGCTGCTGCTGCTGCTGCTGCTGCTGCTGTTGCTGCTGCTGCTGTTGCTGCTGCTGCTGCTGCTGCTGCTGCTCCACGGTAATAAATATATGGATTTTGATCATTTAAAGAGACAATGAATAATTCATGGCATTAAGTTTTTTTTCACCTAAAAAACTAATTTTCAAGTGTTATTAACTTGACTGTGGAGATGTTGATGTAAAGTTTGGGAAGTTGTCCTCCGGTGCTAACTTAAGTTTGTTGACGTTTACCTGGAGTTTACCTGGAGAAGGTTTCGTGGGTCAACGCCCCCGCGGCTCGGTCCGAGACTACGCATCATGGTGGATCAGTGTCTGATCAACCAGGCTGTTACTGTTGGCCGCACGCAAGCTGACGTACGAACCACAGCCCGGTTGGTCAGGTACTGACTTTAGGTGCCTGTCCAGTGCCTTCTTGAAGACAGCCAGGGGTCTATTGGTAATCTCCCTTATGTAGGCTGGTTGGCAGTTGAAAAGACGTGGAGAGTTCTTTGTGTTAAGTTTGTTGACGTGGAGAGTCCTTTGTGTTAAGTCAAGTGTGTTAGTTTTTGACTTTCTCTCTATCCGTTACAAGTTTTTGTATATATCCCTGAAGTGTTAGAGTCACTTCCGGCTGCTAATATAATGTCATACTCACTCTTTTTAAGTCACAACATTAGACTGAGTAAAGAGGAAATAAAACTGAAGATCACACAGAATTATGGTTGAGAAAAACAGGTAAGCAAACACTAGGACATATTTGAAAACGTTTCGGTCCTGGAACCTTGATCACTTCTAACATACAGAGGTTTTAAGAGACATTGTATGTAGGCTGAGGGTGAGGTGTGAGTGATGCATCGTGACCTGAAGGACTCCCGTTCATCAAACGTCCCATGGAGTCCACGGGACGTTTGATGAACTGGGATGAGGCACAGGTCGTCCTCACTGAACAAGATCTTAGACCGCGACAACGTCTGGAAGCCTCACTGATCGCCGTCGCCGATATCAAAGAACATAATACTGGAAACCTCCAAATTTCTCAAACATTATCATACATGATACTCAACCAGGCAAGGCACCACCTACCCAGCAACACAGGACTCACATAATCCCATTGTTTACCTATCCCAATATGGCATTCTTCAGGTCTCCATGCGTCACTCACACCTCACTCCGCCTATATACACTGTCTCTTAAATCTCTGTATGTTAGAAAAACCATTTTGTCGGTATTTATTACCAAGGTTTATACCAGACAGTTATAAATTAGAGGAGTGATTCGTGCAGTAACTCCTGTTGATAGCCTTGACCTGGCAAGTAGTGCCAGGCGCCAAGTTAGAGCATCTGAGAGCTTTAAGAGCACCTATGCGCACCTTAGAGCACAGCAGACAGTGCACAAATAACCAGCACATCGGAGAAACAAACTTATGAAGGACTGTATTAACTAGTGACGCACACATCAGAGCCTATCAGCAAACATAGCTATGTAAGAACGTGAAAATAAAGGTCTGTATAGGCCTATTGGTCCATAGTAGGCAGGTCTTACACCCAATCACGTTTTTGCCTGCTTTTTTTTGTTGTAAAAGACGTAGCTGAGGAGGAATGAGGATGGCAACGAGTAAATACGTTCTCATTAGCGCCAGGCCGAGCCTCAGAAGTGTGAGGAGTGGAGAGAGCAATTACAGAACCACTGAATGGACGACTGATGAATCTGAAGGAGAGGGAGAGGGAGAGAGAGAGAGAGAGAGAGAGAGAGAGAGAGAGAGAGAGAGAGAGAGAGAGAGAGAGAGAGAGAGAGAGATTGTGTGAGAGCTACAGACAAGCAGAGAGAGAGAGACAATTATAGAACGATATTGTCAAAATGTTTACATGTTTTACGAGAGGTCGACGACTCCTTCCTTATTCAAGTGTTGTTGTAAATCTTGAGAGAACATGAGGCGCCAGGAAATGCTTGTATATTGTCCAGAATGTGTTAGCAAGAATGGGAAGATGGAGGAGGGAGGGATGACAATATATATGACGAAGATAATCACTGAGGAAGATGTGTGGTGATGGTGTTAGAAATATATGATGAAAATAGCGGAAATTATAAAAAAAAAAAAATACACAGGTAGGAGACAAGAGAATGGAAGGTGAGAAGATAAAAATGTGTTGTTACAAGACACTCCGGTGTGTTGTTACAACACACTAGTGTGTTGCAGGTGGCTAGCAGTGTATCGTTGAAATTTTTAAGCATCGTATAGATGCAGCAGAGGGTCGGTGTAGCTCGGTGTGCAGTATTGCAGTTGCTGGGCAATATATTTCCCAGCAGTAAGTAAACGAAGGCTAAAATTAAAAATTGCTATTTTTCCAGGACTGTATACTGAAAAAAAAATGTGACAAGTGAAGGGTTTATTCCAGTTGTTGTGTTGATCCAAGGTAAGAAAAACATGGTCGTGACACGATAGTTGTGAAAGCTGTGAGTGCAGTGAGTGCCTCTGTGAGGCACTAACTACAAGCATGTCTGATCATAAGAAGTGGAAAGAATGGGTGGAGTGTGTTCCTAGTTTCTACGTGTCGACGGAGCCAGGACCCTCGTGGAGGTATGCAAGTCCCGTCACTACACCAGTCACTACAGCAGTCACTACCACCTCACCAGCCACACTTAACAGTACTTCACTCTCGCCCTCAAAGGCCAAGAGAGCCTCTGGGGTTACTATTGCACTGCCTCCAGCATCCATCTGTGGTGATCCTCTCTCCACCACAGCCTGGATCACTGGCGCCTCGTCTAGTGCCACTGCCGCGTCTATATACGTCACTCCGACGAATACCTACCTCACCGGCACTTCTACCTATGTGACAGCCACTGCCAGCTCTACCTATGTGGTAGCCAGCTCTACCTCCGCGGCTGCCAGTTCTACCTACGTAATATCTCCAAGCTATGTCATCCCTTCCCCCAGCTTCGTCACTGCTACCCCAGCATCCAGCAACTATCACCGTCTCTACTACACCACACACAGGTATTAAACAAATAGTTTGTTTATGTATGTAATTCTTGTATATATGGCACGAGTATCATAAGAAAATAAAGGCACGTGAGAATAATAGTAGCTAATTAGTATACAAATAACCCGCACGTAGGAGAGAGGAGCTTACGACGTCGGTCCGACTTAGACCATTTACAGAGTCACTAGTTAGTATATACAAAAGACTTGTCGGTGCCTAGAAGGTGACTCGTAGCTCAGTACTTATGCTAGATTCACAAGTACCCAAGCTTGCTTGTTAGGCAAGTCATCTCCTTATACCTGCTGCCCATGTTAACCAAGTAATTAGATGGGTACTTGTTAGATGGCTGTTTTGGGGTCCCATCCTAGGAAAGGAAATCAAAAGAAATACTTCTGATTATACACGATACACAAACAACTTCACATAGGAGGAAGTCATGACAACGTTCCGGTTCACTGAACCATTGTAGACCTTCATCTAGGCAGACACTCTAACTTTGTTGGGTTACCATTAGAAACTTCTGGGGTTAAGGGGTGTTTGCGTGACTCGAGGACCTAAACTCTGGACTGGTTATTGCGCAAACTGCAACCCAACTTTAAGAAAAGCTGGAGAAATTTCGCCACAGAACGTTGAGTGTAGAATGTAGCTCCGTTAGTGGGTGGCGAGGGAATGTGTTGCTATTAACGCCACTTACACGAGCTGGGGAAAGGTGAGTCGAGATCATCTCAACACTTACTTTAAAGAAGACCAAAATTTCCTTTGAATTATTGACACTGCAGGATGAGAGTTGGATACCTATTAAGGCTGAGGGACTGACCACTTTAAATATTTTCTTCGGGGCTGAGGGACTGACCACTTTGAATATTTTCTTCGGGGCTAAGGGACTGACCACTTTGAATATTTTCTTCGGGGCTGAGGAACTGACCACTTTGAATATTTTCTTCGGGGCTGAGGAACTGACCACTTTAAATATTGTCTTCGGGGCTGAGGAACTGACCACTTTAAATATTTTCTTCAGGACTGAGGGACTGACCACTTTAAATATTTTCTTCGGGGCTGAGGGACTGACCACTTTAAATATTTTCTTCAGGACTGAGGGACTGACCACTTTAAATATTTTCTTCGGGGCTGAGGAACTGACCACTTTAAATATTTTCTTCAGGACTGAGGGACTGACCACTTTAAATATTGTCTTCGGGGCTGAGGGACTGACCACTTTAAATATTGTCTTCGGGGCTGAGGGACTGACCACTTTAAATATTGTCTTCAGGGCTGAGGGACTGACCACTTTAAATATTGTCTTCGGGGCTGAGGGACTGACCACTTTAAATATTGTCTTCGGGGCTGAGGGACTGACCACTTTAAATATTGTCTTCGGGGCTGAGGGACTGACCACTTTAAATATTGTCTTCGGGGCTGAGGGACTGACCACTTTAAATATTTTCTTCGGGGCTGAGGGACTGACCACTTTAAATATTGTCTTCGGGGCTGAGGGACTGACCACTTTAAATATTGTCTTCGGGGCTGAGGAACTGACTACTTTAAATATTGTCTTCGGGGCTGAGGGACTGACCACTTTAAATATTTTCTTCGGGGCTGAGGGACTGACCACCTCATATTTACTTCTCCCCTACTTCTTCTGACTGCAGTATTGGACTGAGGAATCCAAATATATATATATATATATATATATATATATATATATATATATATATATATATACATATATTTATATATATATGTATGTATATATATATATGCATGTGTGTGTGTGTACGACCTAGCTATATTAGCAACATCGAAACTCCTCACTTGGGTTCAAAATATCCTCTGAAAATTACAAATAAATACCTCTGAACATGTGTTTGTAAACACGTGTGAGCTATCAGGTATTTCTTAAACACGTGTGAGCTATCAGTATTTCTTTCCTAACATTTTTCACGCTAGTATTTCATCATTCATTATAGAGGAGACTGGACAACGTCCAGAGGTTCAGCGGGTAAACCAAAGGTACAAAGTCGTGGAATGCTTAAACAAACTTCTTAAACACTATCACAACTAGATAAGATATGATTTAAGAATATGTGAATCAAACACAACAAGATGGTCATTAATACAACAGTGTCCTCCCTCAAGTCTGTGTGTTATATCATGACCTGATGCTAGACAACAAGCGTTCAGTCAGGTCTACCTACCTGGAGTCTACCTGGAGGGTATTCCGGGGGTTAACGCCTCCGCTGCCCGGTCCTTGATCAGGCTTCCCGGTGGATCAGGGTTTGATACCCCAGGAAGTACTACCCTTCTCTCACGTGAGTGTGAAGCGGAAGTTTGTAAAATGTTTTGCCCTCTAGCATGATTGTTGGTGTTACCGTCTGGTAAGCATGTACCCAGGGACTGACTACCTCAAAATTACGCCTTAGAGGGTGGTAGACTGATTGTATCGCATTTTCATCTCTACCGCTTCTGCCGCCTTCTCTGTGTTCGACTGAAGATGCCCACTGTGTAGGCGAAACGTTTGGGAATAACGGTGCCTAAATATTGCACATGACTCACAAAATCGTAATGACACGATTGCAAATAAACTATCCCACGGGTGCGGATTGAACTCGCGGCGAGTGAGTGGTAATTCCTATTATTTGTACTTTGACTCAGTATTTATGTATCCCTACTTTCCTGCCTATAGCAATAGTTCTTATAGTTGTAAGGTCTAGTCATCACTCCAGTCATCGCTCTAATGAGCACACCAGAACTATTAACAGACAACGGATGTCCCGGAGGTGGTGACCACACCAGACCATTAATTAACAAATAACAGATGTGCCGTCACGCTGAGAGGAGGTCGGCAGGTGTGTTGGTGACAGATGGGGCGGGGCTTGACCTTGTTAGGTCAGGTTTCACCATGTATTAATGTTGGTAGAATTATCGACAGTATGTTAGATAAAAGGCCACAAGTGCAACTAATGTGACATTTAATGTAGCAACGTTTCGCTCTATAGGAGATTTGTCAAGCCTTTACTGCTTGTGTTCAGTCCGTCAGTCTTGAAGACTGATGGTTTGAACACATTGATTCAAGGCTGAGGGACTGACTACCTCAAACTCCTCATCTCCTTACACCGTTCTTCTTTGCATTGGACTGATGAAGCCACTGTGTGGCGAAACGTTTCCTTAATAAAGATCCCCATATGTTGCATAGGTATCTCATTTTTCATCGAGTATGCAAGAGTGGCTAGTGACTCTGTGATTATACTGTCTGTTACTAGTGACTTGTGTGTGTGTACTCACCTAGTTGTGGTTGCAGGAGTCGAGTCACAGGTCCTGGTCCCGCCTCTTCACTGGCCGCTACTGCGTCACTTTTCCCGCTGTACGAGCATTGTGTGTGTGTGTGTGTGTGTGTGTGTGTGTGTGTGTGTGTGTGTGTGTGTGTGTGTGTGTGTGTGTGTGTGTGTGTGTGTGTGTGTGTGTGCGTGTGTGTGTGTGTGAGTGTTCTCTAGTTGCTACTACTGAGCCGTACCGTTGCTCACGAGGAATATCTAGAACCGTCTCTAGTATGTGTTATACCATACAGTGTAAATGTTAAACTACTAGACAGCAGTTAGAGTCATCTAGCGTCACTTGTGACAGGTACAGTACTAGACAGCAGTTAGTCATCTAGCGTCACTTGTGACAGGTACAGTACTAGACAGTAGTTAGTCATCTAGCGTCACTTGTGACAGGTACAGTACTAGACAGCAGTTAGTCATCTAGCGTCACTTGTGACAGGTACAGTACTAGACAGCAGTTAGAGTCATCTAGCGTCACTTGTGACAGGTACAGTACTAGACAGCAGTAAGTCATCCAGCGTCACTTGTGACAGGTACAGTACTAGACAGCAGTTAGTCATCTAGCGTCACTTGTGACAGGTACAGTCCCAATTTTTAGAGGCGATTCAATGACTACGAGAAAGATTCAGTTTGACAGCCGTAGTGTTATTGATGGTACGGAGGGGGCAGGAAGGGAGGGAAGGGAGGGAGCAGGAAGGGAAGGGAGGGAAGGAGGGAGGGAGGGAGCAGGACGGGAGGCGAGGGAGGGAACAGGAGGGTAGAGTGAGGGAGGGAAGGTCCATTATACTTGATAAATTAGACACATGTGCAATACTTGGGTATCTTTAATAAAGAAGCGTTTCGTCACACAGTGGATTCATCAGTCCTTACAAAGGAGAATGGTGAAGAACAGGAGGAGTTTGAGGTAATCAGTCCCTCAGCCTTGAATCGATGTGGTCAGTCCATCAATCATGAAAATAATACAGCATATGTGTGGAGAAGCAGCTTATATACCGTAGGCAGGAGAGGTACAGCAGTCGTAGGTGGTGTCACAGTTGTCCAGTGTGGAAGTAGGTCGTGACAAAGGGTTAGACAAGTGAAGAATTCCCTGTATTAAGATCCCAAGATGTTGCTGATGAAGCCACTGTGTGACGAAACGTTCCCTCTTCAAAGATACCCAAGTGTTGCACATGTGTCTAATTTATCAACTTGTCGGTTCTCTGAACCAGTCATCTACAAACCATTATACATGAAAGATATAAACCAACTATATACATCATCACAACTCAGAGTTTTCCATATCTCTGCCTTACTCACTACATTCTACTGTATGTATGTATTTATATTATAGTAATGAATGTATTAGCACCGTGCAGTTCTGGGCTCCCCATGTATCATCTTCCTTATTTCTTCCTATGGAAATATAAACACATAAGCAGTATAATGTGATCCTTTATTGACAACGTTTCGCTCATACAGTGGACTTTTTCAGGTCACAGACAGATCTGTTTGTGACTTGATAAAGCCTAATGTGTGGGCGAAATGTTGTCAATAAAGGATCACATTATACTGCTTATGTGTTTATATTTCCATTGTGTCGGTATTTTATACCATTTATTTCCATTTCCTTCCCTCTTCCTTCTTTGATTCCTGTCTTATTCGCCCCTTCCTCTCTCTCTCTCTCTCTCTCTCTCTCTCTCTCTCTCTCTCTTCTC